CTGGCACTACTACTAGGAACAAAGGGCATCGCTGCGCTATTAGGAGCAAGGACGCTACTAGTAGCTGGCACTACTACTAGGAACAAAGGGCATCGCTGCGCTATTAGGAGCAAGGACGCTACTAGTAGCTCCTGGCATTACTACTAGGAACAAGAAGCTAATTACTGGGAACAAGGTGCATCGCTACTCGTAGCAAGAAGCTACTAGTAGCTCCTGGCATTACTACTAGTTACAACATGTAGCAAATACCTAGACCTTCCTATTGGGGTTTCCTGGCTGGAGACCCACAACTAGTGAGGTGACTCTGAACGGAAGCTGCTGGAATATGATCATGCTAAGATCTACTGACCACAGCGTGCAATGACGACGGGGCTTCTCTTCCCCGAGAATCACTTCGTTTGCAGGTGAATTCACTTGTTCTCCCCTGCTTTCTGACACTTGAGTCCATAAGAACAGATCAAAACATGCTTTTCTTCCAAGGCCGACACGTTGACTGAATGGGAGTTTGTCAAGACTCGAACGTTGAAAATAAAAGTTAAAAAAGATTAGCTGAACGCTTCCCAACAGTTGAGCTCAGTTCTCGATCCCTTTTAATTCTTTGATATGCTTTCTGGCTTCCATGTCAAGCTGCTTCCACTTAGTCGATTTCACATGATGTCACTCCCTCCACGAACTTCTCTTCTACTTTTCCTCGCTGCCGTTGCACCATGTTGTACCCCATGTTAACGAAAAAAAGCCCTCGCCCCACTTGGCCTGGCTTCCTCTTCTTGCCACGACGAGGAGGATGGCCTGATCGCCGGGAGCGACGGGTCTCAGCGACGCTGGAGCACGAAGCGTGACTCGGTCGCGACGACCGGTCGCCGCGTCTCGAGGGTGCAAAGGTCGAAGACCGAACGGAGGTTTGGTTGGTTTTGCTGTCTGCACTTTTGGTATTGATGTACAACATCTCTGAAACAAGAGTTTTCTTTTTTCTCACAGTATGAATGCCAAAGTTCGGAAGAGCCCAGCTGATACGTTTTGCATCCATTTACCACCCAATTCGCTGGCGCATCCACACTTCGCCAGCGAATCCAGCATCCGTGATCCTCTCCCGCCCCGTCCCGCTGAGGTCCCAAGCCCGGTTTCTGCAGGATACATCCAATGTGTGGACTGCGGTGCCTGGATTCCACCGCCGGACTGGGTTTGGATGCTACGAGGGCCGAGGCTCGTGGCCTTACTACGAGGCGTCACAACGGAGGGCGTCGTAAAGCTTAGGGCAGAAGCTGACCGTGTTCTGGACTTGCATAAACCTGAGAGGAGACGCTGCCAGAAATTCTGCCAGTATCAGTTCCAGCCATTTGTGACTGGCACGCCTGCTAGGGAATGAGGTTACGGCTCCAAAAGTGATGCTTCGGGTTTGGTTCAGTCATTTGGGGCGGAGATCTTATAGAGCTACAACCTATGAGTGTCAGTGGATAGAGTGAGGGATAGCCGTAGCGACTCGTAGTTTGCGGTTGGCCACTGGTGCGGTTCCGATCTAATTTATAGTTGCTAGGCTTGTGGATGTGAAAGAGACGTCCCCAATCCAAATCACGATTCGGTCTCGTCTCTTGGATATCGTTTGTGGCTTTTGGATGCTTTTGGAATTAGAAAACCAACACGAAACGGAAACTGCTCCAAGGAATTCTTATCTGGATCAAGACAGAAATCCTTCCAATTTCAGACTCGCACTTCTGCAGATTTGTCCGTTCCCAACAGAAACGGGTGGCAGGTCCCAGTCCTCAATCTCGCTCCCCGCATCAGAACCGACCGCGACGACCGCGACGACCCGCCTGGAGGCTGTCGCGGGCGCGGTGGAGCCAACTGCGCATGATGGAGGCTTCGGACCAGGTCAAGGACTTGGGCACCTGACGCCCGCTGGGCGAAAAGGCTATTGGCCTTGTCGCCGTCACTGCGTGGGGTGGAACCCCAGTGGTTGGAGGGTGTCTTGCGTGGCGACTGGGGCCAGGAATTGAACGAAGAAACTTGAACCTGTTGCCGAACGGTTTGTTCAAGCGGAAACAGCTGTTGGGAGCGGATTTGCCCAACGCGAGGGCGAGTTCCACGGCGCGGGCGTTCACCGATCCGACACGGTGTGAACGACGGACACATCGTTCCGGCGTTCACGGAGGTACATGCGAACGTAGGTCCACAAGGCTAGCTCTCCACACCGGTGCTTCATCACAAACATCGGTGTGCCGCTAGTGTCCAAACTGCGTGGGGTTGGATGGGAAGGATGTGAGGCCTCGATGATTCAAAGAACAAGATGCTGTTGCTTAGTGGTCCCTCCTACTTTCTAGCTGGCTTGCAACTAATTACTTTCCAAGGTTCCAAGGTAGAGTCTGCTAGACTGATAGAGCTTCAGACCTTCCACTTTGTCGCTCTTTGTGCTTTGCAGACCTGCACCTTCCCAGCAAAGACCTTCACCCCGGACGCCCCTCCGCCTTCAGGGGGACCTTCTCTGGAATGTCGTCGGCCTCCAAGTCGATCATCAATGGATCCTGTCGGGCACGGCATCGGCCGGTGGGAGTTTTGTCAAGAAAATCCTTGGTCTCATTGACCGCGGTCACGACTGGTCGCATTCCTTCGGTTTGCACCGCGACCACTCACACTCTCACTCACATGTTGTCACGATTTCTTCCGATGTTCCAGGCAGCCCTGTGCTGAAATCGTGTTCGATTGAGATGGACATTCAATGTCTCCCCCAAAGACCATCATATATATAGGTACCAATTTGATGGATCAGTGGTGTCTCCAGTCTATTTTTGAGGTCAAAATTGGACTCTCATAGTCCAGATCAGGGGGCAGGACCAGTACATACCTGTACAGTACACATATGTACACATCAAGCAATCTTAAACTGGGTGGTTCCCCAAGTTCCCTACCTCAAGCATGAACGATCTGCCAAAGCCCCGGCAGCTGGCACCATCTGCCGTGATCGCCCGTCGTTTCTGTCGCCGGAACCACGCCTTGATCTCATCATCATCTCTGGCTGCCTCGGCGAACGAGGCTTCTCTGGTCACAAGGACCGCCGACCGTAGAGGGCGCATTTCAGGCGCAGGGAGGCAAAGCGCGTCAGGTGGAGTGGTGACGAAAGGGCAGCTTGGTCGTGTATTTGGACTGCATTCCAAGCGCGTTCGTCGTGCTCTGCATGGATAAGGTGACCTTCCCGTCCCTGGACATTGACACAATTTGTAGACCCAAGCTTATTTGACTGGGCATTGTTCTGAAAGGTGAGCCTTCAATCCCAATCGCGAGCATGAGAAGAGCTTTTTTAGGTGATGCTGCAATCTATTTGTGGATACAACTCCTCCAGAGCATGCCACTGACAACGCAAGTGGCCCAGGGCCTTTTCGAGATTGGAAAAGGGAACAGCACATGCCGATACCCGATACCTCGAAAAAATAACAACACTCGAAAGAACAAAACACAAGAGCCGCAAGAAGAAGGTCGCACCTCGTCATCGTTGTCAGACACCGAGGGCAAGGACCTCAATCCACCACGGCCGCCGGCCACACTGAGGCAGCTCGGGGACCGTGCAAGGTGTTGACAACTCGGACAATTCAAGGGCTCTAAAGTTTATTAAGATGAATCAGAGCACTTTCTGTGGAGGAAGTGGCTCACTCTGGCCGTCCCACCTGTTGAAAAAGGCTTTCTGGGCTTCCCAACGCATCATCTTCTCCAGCCTCAAAGAAGGCACGAATTTCCAAATCACACGAGAGATTTGTTTTCTCTGGGAATTCTGGAACTGATGATGAAGGCTTGAGATGGCCTGCAGCGTCTGCAGTCAAGATCCTTCTAAGAAAAAGCTGCCAGGGGTTGATTTACGCCAAAAAGATCGATTATCATACTAGCGATGGGTCATTCTTCTGTATAGTTCATCTCTACTAAACTTACTAAACTAACGCATCAATGTGTAAAGGTCCCGCAAAAAAGGGAAACACGCAAACCCGCACATCCCTTCATTTTCATCCCCCAAACCAGAAACGAGCCAGTCCTGTCTGCCTTCGTCGGATCGGTCGAAAACCGGAGGCTCGAAAACCGTCGGACGCGACTTGTAGGTCCAACCCGACCGGTAGGCTCCGTCGGTCGAGGGTCCGCCTTCTCAAGGAGTTCCTTGCGAATCTCCTGCATGGTCCGACCTGCGAGGCACGTCGAAGCGGGGATGATCCGTCACTGGGTTCTCCAACCATGTTCCGTTCTTGCAAGGACTCATTTTCGGTTGTTGTTTTTCTAGGGATGCATGAAGAATGACCCTGCCTGGATTCTCCACAAAATGCTACAAAAGCGGTTTCTAGAAAAGCTCAGCGGAGCAAACGCTCGGCACGGTGCGTTTTTCTGGAGGCTACTGACCAAAGGTTTGGTTACAGTGACCATCACAGATCCACCCTGTCTTCCCAGTCAATCCAAAGATCCAAAGCCCTCACCTGTCGAAACAGGTCCCTGGTCATGATTGGAAGCAGGTCTTTGGTGCGACTTTGGTGGTTGCTTCTCTCCATCGTGGTTGCATCCTCATCTGGAACTGGAAGGATCCAAGGGACCCGCCGTTTCGGCTTTTAGTCTACTTGTAACACTCTAAACAAGCCTTGCACCTCGGATGTCTCAAGAGCAGGAATAGCAGGAATCTGCCGGGCCAGCATCCTGTCCTAAGTTCCTATCGCTTCGAGTTCGAGTCCAGCACAGCGGCCTTCAATACCAAAGCGTGGCAAGAAGTCTTGTGGCCGTTCTTCTCGTACAATGCATCTGGTCCATTCCAGCCACAAGTTCAGGACCTGGACAGAAGTTGGACCATGGAGAGTTCACAAGCCTTCGATTCTCACAACTTCAACAATTTCCGTCCCTGGTGTGCTCATTAGATGTATTATGAGGTATTTTTCTGGAGCAATCTATGTTGTATTGGTGGCCTCGTGGCCTGAAAGTAGATCCATCATAAATGCTGAACTACATAGATCTTGGATTTGCGAACCTCTGTGGGGATATATATAGCTGGATCTTTCAAAAATGCTCAATTCCTGCCTTTTGGCTGTTTTTTAGATGAAAGGCGGAATGTTTGCACAGTTGGAAGATAGTATAGGGATGACTTGGCCTCCCAATCACAGATGCACAAACCCAGCTTTCAAGCCTGCTTCATCTCTGGCTCCAAGGTGATGACTGGATAATCACTGCTCCTGCTTTCGTGCGTCCCAGCAGCACAGCAACGGCGAAAGCACAAAAGAAACAGCTGACTGTAACAAACCATCGTAAACCAGCAATCTTGCTGAACTCTAGTCACGCTTCCTACGCATCGTTTGCGCCAACATCGGTCACAAGCTTCACCGCCCAAACAGCTTAACACATTCTCTTTCAGCAATGAAGCGGAACATGGCTCCGACCCATTCCGTTCACGAAACCATGGCGACCAATGACTGATGTCTTAGACTTCGTCAGCTGACCGGTGAGCTATGCAGCAAACACATACAGAGCAAAAAGTGAAGAACCGAATCTTTTTCAAGATTTACTTGGAACGGTCTTATGGGCTCTCTCTGGTTGAGCTGGACTGGCACCTCACCCTTTCATATGCACTCTTCTTCTTCGCCTGGCACGCTGGCGACCAGATCATGCGGCATGTGCCGATCGTGTGGCCACACGGATTGGTAACAGGAAAGCAGATCGGTGAACCTCGGCGAAGCTCGGGTCACCCGGTCCATGAAGTTACCCTTCCAGAATTCTTGGGCCCGAACCCAAGCAGAGGTGGACCCGAACCTTAAACCATTCCCCATGGATGGGGTCCAGTCTCTTTGAAGTTATTATCCTTGGTCCATCGAATCATAGAGACCAAGGGTCGTCCCTTTTCACCTTGGGTGACCCTGTGCGGCCTAATGATAAGCTTTTGATGCAAAACTTCGTCCCCCCACTTTGAGGCAAACCCTTATTCTTGAGGCAGTCACTGCATGTGCGAAACACACCAATGAAAACACAAACACAAACACACACACACACAGACACACCTGTAAAAAGCAACCTTCAGAACTAGACTTCTTATGCCACTGGAGGCCATTAAACTGGAAAGATCTCTCCTTGCCATGTGAGCCAGTGAACTATCAAACTATATTAAAACCCTTGCAACTTACAAGGCATGGAGCCAAAGACTCTTGCAACGTGTTTGCAACTTGAGCAAAACATCAATCACCTGCTCCCACATGTGCATCATTGTGCAACACATTAGGTTTGAACTCTTGATGTTCAATTCGTCATGTCAAACTCTTCGCTCAAATGGTGTTAAAGCCCATTCGGCCCAACCATCCAGGTCACCTCTTGGGACGAACGGAGAAAGCCCCTCGCCAAGGCATACCATACCCCCCCCGTCGCCTGCAAGCGTTGGTACCGCTTCTCGTTCACGGGAATATTGGTGTTGCGCTTGTGGTAGTACCGCGCACACGCCTGCGTGGACCAATGTTGTCAGTTGCATGCACTGCATGCACAGATGTCTCGGTGAAAACGTGCTTTTCCACCCAGGCGGGGTCGCAACATGACGCTCACATATGGCCCGAACGTCGGATATTGGGCCTCACACAGGGTGCAAGTGGGCGTGAAGGTTTGGTAAAAGTGCTTCCAGAGCGGTGTATTCCACAAAGGAGACCTCAGTCCGTGTTCGGAAACTTGGCTCCTGCTTGTGGTGAAGAGACATGTGGCCGATTCATGCTGATTCCAAGCAGGGGAAATTTATCATGTGGATCATATGGGGTTGAAGTGCGACATCTTCACTTTCCCCTCCTTAGCAAGACTAGCAGCTCGCATTTTGCCAGGTACTGAGCCTCTCTTTCGAAACCAAAAGCGAATCGGGTCAGGCTCTTGTCCTTCTCATCCATTCTTCCCATTCCCGGCGAGCCCCGGGCATATCGCGCTGCTCACGGTAGAGTGAAGCCAAATGCCTCAGGGTTCTTCACCAGTGGCCACAAGCAGTGACAACGGTTTTTGCCATGCTTTTGCGGTTCAATTCCAAACACGAAGGGGATGGCCGAGCCAATGCAGAACCTTTCCAAAGGACATCTTTTGAGCAAGTACAGTGCTCAAGTATATATATTAGGAAAAAATCCGGAGGTTCACTTCGATGGTAAGTGCTGAACTGTTTTTAGTCACTCTGTTGCAGTCACTCTGAATCCGCTGGAAAACTTAAGTTAACAAGACTCAAAAGACAAGTGCGTCGCTACGTTCGTAACAAAGGGCATCGCTACGCAGAACGGAGCGATCGGAGGTGCGAACCGAACGCAGCTCCAGACGGTCCGCACACGGAGGGCGCTCGCTCTGCGGAGCCCTCTGAGCAGTCGGCAGTAATGTATAGATCGGTAAGACCACCAAAGGCGACATCTCTTTGCTCTTACCACAGATTTCGCAGGCATCGCGTCGTTGGTAGTTGTCCAACTTCACCTTGGGACTTGGACGAAGGAGTAGATTTTGGGACAATCCATCGGGTTTTCCAAGGCACCATCTTCCACTTCCATGTCCGTCGGTTAGAGGATACTATACATCTCTTCTTCGAAAGTCTCAAGTACATATTAAAGAAGTATCAAGACGCAACCAGCAGCCAGCACACCTGTTTTAAAATATCGCATGGATCACATCCTGGCGTGCAAGGCTGGTCGCTTCAAACTAACACACAAACACGCTGAGTTCCCCTCACCATGGCAGACACTTGCTGCAGGAACAGCATAAATTGAGCGCGCTCGCGCCACATCCTGGCGAAGGCATTCGGCTCGAACGCGGTCTCCGGCGTAGCGGTCTCGTCCGCTCCCCGCGGAGCGGAGACCAAACACTGTTGGGACCCAAAGCGAGGAACGCATGTGCACCCTGACGAACATACCCGTTCTTTTTTCGGCACAACAAGAATCAGCAGCTAAGACGGGCACAAGTTCGCTCCAATGACCGGTCTGGAAATGTCCCACAAATAACACGCCCGCTCTGAGGACGTGAAAGAGCTTCTCAACCACATACTTGACGTCCACTTTTCGATTGGAGACTACATGCGAAAAAGTATATATATATATATTGACCTAATTAATGAATACAGATTATTTTGCTCTTGATAATTCTTGATTCAGATTTGCATATATTTGCACTTCATTTATACTGTGCGCTATCGTTCACTGGCGATCCAAAAGGACATCACTCCCAGCACATCATCGCCCAGCAAATGGACATCTATATAACCCGCCTCATGAGCTGTCTCAGTGCGGAATTCTCATAGGTCTCACGCTGCACCTGTTGACATGTGCGCGCATCGAAGATCAAACGAAGCGGCCGACCAATGTTTGTTTTGAGCACCAAGCAACAGCAAAATACTCAGAAAACTCACATTTTCGTTTTATATCCGGCATCCTGTAGACCCATCGATCCACCTGGTGTTGACAACAATCCCCGTTTGGACCCTGGGGCCTAAACAACGTGAACTCGCATAGAAAATGCGCTCTTTCTTCGATATCCTTGTTTCTAATAGCTTCTTGCTCCTAGTAGTAAGGCCAGGAGCCCCTAGAAGCGTCCTTGTTCCTAGTAGCGATGCCCTTTGTTCCTAGTAACTTCTTGTGTCCTTCTCCACACCTTGACTTTGCCCTCGCCTCCGAAGCGGCGCGCGCCAGGTCCATCTTTGGCCCGCCGCCAAAGGTGAACATCTCCTGCGCCGAGAACTGCGCAGAAGCCCCGGAGACACGCGCGGGCCGCGCGGGGTCGGGCAGACCTGGGGGCAGTGGAAAGAAATTCATTGGAATGCGGAAAATGGTGGACACGTGCATTCCATCCCGGTGTAGATGCTCTTTTTTTTGCTTTTTGTTGGTTGATATTTATTAAGGGAAACGGTGTTGAGAGGGACCAACAAATTCTATAAACCTCATTGACAAAGCAAAAGGCTTCTACGATGTGCCCAGCGCACCCAAACTGATTTTGACGTTTCCAAATCATGAGCCTGCATCACTGCATGCTCTTTTGTACTGCTGTGGTCAGTCTGGGGTGACCATATCCAACCGTTTTGGCCCCTTTTGAGCCCCTCAGCAAATAAGTACTCCATTCCACCTGACCCCAAACAAGGTTGCTCTGTAGCAATTTATGATGTACAGCCTGAAAAGGCCTTGAGTGCAACAACTTGCCACCCCTCAAAAAAAGGACATGATCGAGCGTACCGTATAAGCGTCATTTCCAATAGACACCGAGAGTTGTATAGGGCACTCCTTCTCTTGGTACCTCTGCCATCCTTGTGTTCCCCCCTCCCTCCGGTGCCACACTATGGATCAAGACCCCTTGCCCGTTTCACCGTAGGGTGACCTCCCATGTTGGTCCCCAAATGACGAGAATGGCATGGTGTCCACCTTTTGAAGGAGAACTTACTTCTCTATGACAGGGGGGTCAGAGACTATATAGACCATTTTCCCGGCTTTTCGGCTCCGGAAAACCGACTCTTCCGAACACCGAGTCCGAACACTGTGTCATCGCACAACGGAGCGTCCGTCTGGCGGTCCTTTTCGACGACATCGGTACCCTCGGGCGCATAGTCCTTTGGTGCCACCTGAACTCCGTGACGGTCCAGCGGGAAGATGGTCACCGGTGCCTTGTTGATAGATCGAGGAACTTCGTGGTAACTTCCGCAAAAAGGAACCAGCCGTTGTCTTGAGGATTGAACAACAAATAGCATCTTTTTCTATATTTTGTTTGGAAAGTATAATGATACTTTAACATCCTTAATCATACTCCAATGGTCCCTATTTCAGATCTCATGGCGTCTGTGGATGTTCGTCGGCTGACGTCACACTCGACGGCGCACCATGACCTCGTGTCGTCAACGACGCGCTTTTCGGGACCTCGTTGACGATGGGGGCCAGGCCGTCGAGCAAGTCTTGTCTGTGCCTGAGAGGTTTGTCCCACCGAGTCGGATGAACTAGACGACCGACCCGATGAGAAGGACTGAAACCTAACAAACACACTTATATATAATATACTGTACTACACAAGACTGGGACTCTTTGTGGGGATGAACCTTGTGTTCAGAACCGCAAAAACCATCCAAAGGCCAACAAGGAGGAACGGAACAGCTCACTGTATCTTGTCGCAGGCAGGGCGCTTTTCCAGCGTCTTCTTGTCCATCATTTCTGACACCGCCACCTTCCATGCTCGTGAATCTCCACCCTGTGAGGAAATCGATAAAACTGCCAAGAAAGGGGGCTGTTTACCCATAGAAAGCACATCCACATGACAAAGGAACATCCTATAGGAAATTTGGTCCTTATTGGAATGGCAACTTCACAAAAACAATTGACATGGTGTGTGGCTCAATCGAAGGATAGCAAGGGATGCAGAAGGGCTCCAGGATGCAGAAGGGGCTCCTGCTTGGTATTGGTTCCAGTCCAACCTCGTTGTCATGGAGAAGCTACGTACTTAGCTCCTTATAGCTACTTTCAGCTTGAAAGTGGCGAAAACACCGTCACCCCACCCGGTGACCCCGCAGGAGATATAAAGACTTCTATAGAAAGCTCTCCTGAAACTCATGCCAATCATGTGGACATATATTTCATCCGCAGGATGCACAGCTCCAGACCATGCAGCGGTGCGTGGCCTGCAGCCAAAGCTGGTTCTCTGCCAAGAAGGCAACCCGATACCTGACCAGACAGGAAGCACTTCTGTAACAGCAGGACTTTCACTCGAGATGCATAAAATTTGAACAGCAAAGTCACTGCAATGTGCAGCCCTCGCAAATCATGCAGCCCCATTCGTACACAAGCTCACCAGGTCAGTCTCCTCACTGGGCCAGTGTGAACTGCAGTTAGTCCCTGTCCTCCCAAGTCCTCGCCTCTCCAAGCCATGCTTGTCGTAATGGGCTGGCCTCGAAACCACCCCAAACCATGGGCTCGTCGGGGTCTGACCCCTGAAGTCCACTCCAAATGGATAGGTCAATATGGAAAATACACGGAATGCCTGGGTGTAAAAGCTGTTCAAGCATAAGATCATATAAGGTCTATAAGTTGCTCAGTTTCCGAAGTCCTATGAAGACGGGTCGATCGCAGTGGGGAGACCCTCAAATCATCTGCCAGCTTCGTGAGATAGGTCAAAGATGTCATTTTGCTTTGCCCCATTATATCCTGTTATTAATAGTGCTTGGACCAGTGCTCAATCTGGTTTCCCGATTCTGTCTTTGACGATGATTGCTGTAGTTCATGCTCTCTCCCAAATGCCAAATTTCATTTCAATCATCTCTGTCCTACCAAATGAAGTAGAGCCTCTTGTTCGACTCGGCAAATGTCAATCTCAAGCAGCAATAGTTCTTTGTATCTCTCGCCCGAATGAGCATCTGCCAAACTATCAAGTGGAGGACATGATTCAGCAAGGTTCCTAAAAGTAGTCATTGCATGTCATTGCATATATATATATATAGTAAATCACAGTTGCAAAATCAACGATCCAAAGAATCAACGATCCAAAGCTTCAATCAAAACACCTTCCTGGCCTCCCTTCTGGACAACCTTCAGTCGCTCCGACTCCGCGCGACGCTCCGACCGTGCTGCGACGCTGCTCCGACGCTGGTCGCGAGCTCCGAAGCCACCCGTCCGCTGGGCGTTCCCTGCTCGGGCCAGCCATCGTGAGCCGATCCCGCGGGCGGCGGCGGTGGCTTCTCGTCCGCCTCGGGGGATCGGACGTGCTGGACGAACGATGCGGTGGCGGTGGAGAGGAGGGGGGACAAACGACGCGGTCGGTTTGGGTGCTCTTTTTGGGAGGAAGGTTTTGTGGGAAAAAAGGAAGTTTGATTGATTTTAAAAATATGGTTAAATATGTTTCATGTTCCGTAAACTGCGGAGAAGACATAGATTCATGCAGCTGGTCGGGGCGGCATTAGAGATCTTTAGAGGGTCCGAAGAGAATTGGTTGTTTTGGTTCAGTCCTTGAAGCATTTTTGTGATCACACCAAGTGCAAAACACTCAAAGTCATCCCGATTGAAACACATATTGCGACCGGCTCAAAGTGTTTTCCCAAGTTTTGATGTTGGCGACCGTAAAATCCGGTTCAACCAAAAAAAGGGTGTCGTTCAATTGCCTCACTCTGTCAGACTCGTAACGCTCGTCCACCAAGTGTGAACCAAAAGCAGCAACCAGTGGTGCCATTTTTACACGTGAACCATGGCAATTCGCCATGCGCTCCGACAAAAAAGACCCACTGTAATAAGGTGCATCACTTTCAACAAATCGCGGATGCATTGTGCTCTGCCAGCTCCGCACGCTCTCGCGGATGCGTGCAGAAACTTAGGCCTCCTGCAGTGCTTCCCGACATGGCCTGCATCTTCTTCACCAAGGCCTGGTCGCCGGAGGATCCGAAGACTCATTCTTAAGATCTAACATATTACTAATATATACTATTCCCTAGGGCTCCAAGGACCTTCTTAGAAGGTGTTTGGGGTGGGTTTAGAGGGTCCAAATACCTTCTAAGGAGGTACTTGGAGCCCTAGGGATTATGATTATCCCCTAGAAGTCGAACCACCATTGTTTTAATAGCCTTTGCCGAACAACCATTGTTTCACTAAGGGTTTTTCACTACAAAACCAGACCAACCATGTTTAAAATGGTCTTTGACTTCTAGGGTATCCATATTCACAAATATCACATTCGATCTTCTTGAGCGGTGCTTTTTTACGATTTCTTTCGTGACCAAAGGTGGACATTCGACGCATTCTTCATGCTTCGACCACTCCCAGGTCGTGTGAGTATTTGGAGTCCATCAGAGCTGGACTCGTCTCCACAGAACTTCACATCGTCTTCACATCGCCATGGCATTGTTGAACATTCTTCGCTTCGGGCTGCGTAGGGTCCTGATCGAATGTTTAATAAAGAGTACTGACTCGCCGCGTCATTCTCTGGATTCCTGGAGTGATCGACTCGCTGATCCCAATTGATTGCTCGTGCGACCTGGACAATCAGAAAGTAGAAAACTCGGCGCATGGTCTGTGAACCGAATTGAAGGTTTTGAGCTACAAAGGAGGTTGCTACCTCAAAATCTCTCAGTACATGCCGATCAAGTCCCAAACGCTTCATGGGACATGGGAAGATTTACCTACATTGACCCCTGAAATATCCTGAAATCAACTACCCCAATGTATGTACACATATGCCAGTCCCATTGTATACCCTCCCTGAAACAATCATGGAAGTGGAAAACCCGCGAATAGAGGAAAAGAGTCTTCCAAGGCCAATGTACCACTTTCATGTTTGTTGAAGGGAGGGTATTATGGTCGTGTCTGGCAAAAACGCTCATCGCACCGGCGCGTTTCGCGTGCTTTCTCGCGACACAGCGACCGGCTCAGCTCCGACATGAGCACGAAGAGCGCTGTGGGCACGAAGCGCGCCTGTTGATATCCAGTTTCGGCCCATGTCTTGTAGCGGACCACCTGGAGGCTTTTTCACCGGCTCGTGTGGCGCTGGCCGCGGGGTGGACACCCAACGGGTGGGTGGGAGGACCTCCGATCCTTCCACCACTTTGCTTCACCTATGCCATGGAAAAGACTGTAAAGAGACATCATCGTCATCATCATCATCATCATCGTCATCGTCATCGTCTCATTGATAAAAGGAACCATAGAGGAGGATCACAAACCTGTGCTCCGCCACTCTGAAATCCCGACACGCCACCACCTCCCTTCAAATAGCTTCAAATTGGCTTGTGAATACACAAAGAACTAAAATTCCACAAAACCCTACCCAACCAAAACGCAAACTTCCAACGACACAAAAGGGAAGTCATCGGGAAGTCTCAAGAAAAGCACAACAACAACGGCTTCAAGTCAAACTTGCCGCAACTGTGACAACACAAACGTCATCCTCTCTGCTCCGAAAGCCAAGTTAGCTGATGCTGAGCGCCGGCACCCAAATCTTCAGGTACCCTGCCGAAACCCCTGTCATAGCGTTGGTACCTCAGGCGAGCTCCTAGGAGGGTAGTTTCAGAGATGGGATCTATGTTAGCCTAGGTATGCAGCAGATCAGTATTAAAACCTTCAGAACTCTTGGCTCAAACCCCAAAGACTGTTTTTGGCCGGTCCCTATATTACCAACCACCACTTGGGATTTGAGCCAAAAATCCTGACGGGGATATAACAGCATGCAATGGCATTAAGCACTCCAAGGGGTGTTCTTGCTCACACCTTGTTCAATTCCTGATGACTCTTCTTCCAAAGCGAGCAGAATCGATACCCAAGTGAGTCTCAACCACCGCCGGCTCTGAGCCCTCGCCTTTGCAAAGCAAAATCGCGTAGGCCAGGACTGCTGGTGTGGCAGGATCCTGGAAGACGTTCCACCTCAGTCCACACGGCACCGGCGTTGAGAACAACGCGCTTCCCGGACTCACCGTGGCCCACCGTGACTACGAGCAAGGACGCTAGTAGTAGCTCCTTTCTTACTACTATACTAGTAACAAGAAGCTACGTTCGGGGCTCCTGGCCTTACTACTAGGAGCAAGGACTAGGACGCTACTAGGGGCTCCTACTGGGGCTCCTGGCATCGCTACTAGTAACAAGGGCATCGCTACTAGGTTGGAGGCCGTCGCTACTAGGAACAAGAAGGACGCTACTAGTAGCAGAATTTTTATACAGTATATCTTACAATGAAACTCAGGGTGGCCCACCGTGACTGACAACCTCGTTACCCACTTGACCGGCCTCGTGACCAGGCCTGGAAACCGGTCCAGGTGTTCAGACGGATGAGCTCCGACTCTGGGTGTTTAGTCGGATGCTGAAACAACCGAAAGCTGGCAGAGTTCTGCCTGTTCCAGGTTTCCGTGCCTGGCTTCAAAAATGATCTGCATGCCAAAGATCAAGCAAATCACTCCCACCGTCTGCAGAAGATTTACGAAGTAGAACCTCCAGGTTCAGCAGAGAATGGCCCGAGTGCAAGGTGTTTTTCGATGTTTTTTGCATCAAAGTAAGGTGCCATGAAGGGTTGAATGCACGAGCAGATCGCCCAACGTGGCAAGAATCTTCACTCAGTTCCACCGAGCAGCTGGACCCCCACAGATACGATGGTTGACACTTGCGTGTACGCGCTTGCGCGTGTCGCTTCCGCAGGAGGACCACCCGATATCTGCCGATGGAAGAAACCCCCTTCACCATGAATGCTGCTAGGGCACTGGTCTGAGAAGCACATCTGGTCAATAGACCGCCTCAGCAACTGAGACACAATAGATCACAATAGCACCGCCTCACTTGTCTCAAGGTACTTCTTGATCATGTTTGGTATTTCGCCGGCAATTTCATGGTCTACAGTCTACAAAGTCTAGCGTCTTCTTTTCTGCTTTTCGATACCAGGTTTCCTGGGCTGCCAACACATGTGGTGACAGTGTCTGGTCCATAATGTTGTCTTTGCCCTGGCATCATTTGCCGCCAATGCACACTCTTCTTTTTCTTACTCCTTCTCCAAGCCACACCTATATGTAACTTGGTACACTGTGAAAACTACCCAATGTGCAAAGTGAGAGCCGTCTCTTCACATCTCGCGCAATGCCGGACTGCAAAACAGATCTTTTCACCAGTGGCTCAGATTCAAAGGAAACTGCCAGGGCCTTCCAATCCGTCGTCCTCACAATAAATCGGTAGGCACCTCAGTCACCCGACTTCCAGTCCGAAGCAGAACTTGCAGAAGTCAACAAAAAAGAGCAGTGGAACAGAAAGAAAGGCAGCAAAATAGTATATCCAGTCCTGCGGCTTTCGGGGGAGCAATCGTTTCTCATCGAATGGATCGCTTTCGATGGAGGAGCACATTGAGTCGCCGGCAGTACTCCAAATAATCAGTCACTTTCCAGCCTTAGGACGAAAAAAGCACGCCATGGAGGTGTTCAAAGAACCACAGCTGCTGACCACTGCAAACGAATGAAGCAAAGGTAGAGTACAGAGTCAGTCGGAATGCCTTCACTGAAAATCATCACACTTTGAGAGACCATCGATTGACTTGGCTACGCTTGCCTAGATGTATACTGCAATATGACAATCAAATCTTTAGTTTCAACAATTATGTACTCCCCTGCAGTGCCCTGCAGATTCACATGGAACTCAAAAAACCGGTTGGTCTTCGGAAAATGGTCCAAACCATGGTGATCTGGCAGTTCCACGTTCGCTGACCGCGGCGGGGGACCGCGGCGGGGGTTATCCTTGTCGTCCCTTCGAGCGGTTTTTCCATCTCCGTCGCTCTGGAGAAGCTGGGCCGAGCTCACCATGATAACACTCCGCGATGTTCACACAGATCCGATCAGCGATGAGTTGGAAGGGGTACATGAGCAAATAGAAGATCCTGAACGGTGTGATGAGCGGAGTGATGTGGGGTATGTTGGGGGTGCGTTTTGAGATGAAGCAACACTTATAGGATTTGATGAGATTTGCAACATTCTGTGAGCTAAGAACATGCTACCTACCTGCCTACCTGCCTACCTACCTGCCTACCGGCCTAACTACCTGCCTAGGCCATTATGGCCTCTTTCTGTCACGCAGAATCTGTGTCAGCACCCGACAGGTTTGTCTGCCGCCTGTCTACCTCGCCGGTCTACCTCGCCGACTCGGGCACCGTCTGAGACCCGGACAAATAGAAGAAGGCGTTGTGCTCTGCAATCCTTCAAACATGCCGAATTTTCAATGTCTTTCAATGTGAAGTTAATTTTTTTTCCAAAGCTGTTCGACTCATGCCCCAAGCAAAAGTGGAGAAACAGAGCTGCTCGACAAGACTTTCTCACTTCAGTCTGGACTTGGTGAAATTGATTCATCTCGATTCCAACTGCTGCTTTGCCACAGTTGCTGTTCCAGTGCCCAAAAACGCCCGTGGCAAAACGCTGCCGTGGCCGTCCTGAAGTTACTGAGAATGCGGCACTCGCTAAACATCCACATGCAGAACTGCCAGCGGCGTCCGCCGCATCGCGCCGGGCGTGGCAGCCGAAAAGGGCGAAGTCGGATCCAAATGGTCAACACCAGTTGGGAATTGATCATGGCTCTCAAGAAGAATTCAACCACAATTGCTTCAGAACTGCATGGAATGCAGTTCTGAGACCACACAGAACTGGTGCCCGTGAGACATGAAGGCATTCTGGAAGCATCCAGCATGCGAAGGCATGACTATCTGAATCACTACCATGAATCTGAGATATTATGAACCATTACAACGAAGTCGGATCTCCAGTACAATGCATTCCATCCATTGACTTTTCCCGAGAATTTCACAGTGCCTCACATGATTCCGTTTGCCAAACCCAACGGGCCGGTCGTCCGCGTCCGTCTGCGCGCCATGAAGAAGGTGGGCACCACCAGGTTCGCCACGCTGTCTGCGCTCATCGTGGCCACGAAGCTGATCATCTCCTCGGAAAGCGAGCCATCGTGGCGATCCGAAGACAAAAGGAAAAGACATAGCCCGTGGCTCTGATCGATGTTCATGTGCTTTTTTGGAAAAAGCTTGTCCGAGGCTTGTCATGTCATGCATGTGTTCTTCCAAATCGCCTTCATTGGATTCTTGGTGCTTCTAATCTTCTGAAATCGTGGAAGACATACAAACCTTTCGTGGTTAACCGCCTCACTGCTGGTCAGCCTTGATGGCCCAGCTTGAAATGCCATGAAATCTGGATTGGAGGGCGGGGAAATTGGATGCTTCCTCGGTCGAACACAGATCGTGGTCGAACACAGTCCTTCTGATCGCTAATAAGTGCGATTCACAGTGACCACTGTGACCAACGCCCAAACGGCTTCACTGATAACCTGAAAACCCACCTGCCCCTCACCATGTCTCCCCCCAAAAGACCTGCTCTTCCTCGTTCTCCCCGTCTCACCGACCAGTCCACGGTCCGTCGCCACTCCTCGGTTTCGCCTTCCAGGCCCAACTCATCGGCGTCCTGTGTGGCGCACGGAACGGGCACGGCCTGGGGGGTTTCTTTGCGTGGGACGGGCCCTGGCATGGCATGGGTGGCAATGGAGATCTACATGTGTTATATAGTGATAGTATATATATATATATATACGTATAGGGACATGTTCGGACTCCGGAAAGGTCTATATTTCTTTTCTGGTTCTTCAGGTTTCCATGGAAGTCATGTTTGAGTATCTGAGGATATGAAAGTCTTCTCAGAAAAAAAGAAGCCGAACACATGCAATCGAGAGAACTCAAAAAGAAAAAAAAGCGGCAACAACGTCAAGCTGAGAAAAGAAACATAAGAAAAACTGACAAAAAACTACCAATAAATGACAAACCAAATGATCAACGACAATAAAACAACAAAAACATGACATCCAGAAAATTGTACGTCACAAAAACAATAACAACGAACGACAACATGATTCTGGTAACCTACTTGTGATTACTTGTGTGTGGCTGCATGTTTCTACTAGTCTACAGCATTCTACAGCTCTCGTTGTGCTCGTTGGCTCGGCGCCGCTGTTTTCACCGCTGCCTCGAACTTCTTCTGCTCGTCATCCGACTCCTGGATCAGGTGGTGTGATTCTCGGATCATTTCGCCTGGCGAAAAAAGGGAGTAATTGTGTGAGAAGAACAGGTGCTTCTTTTCATGTTTATATCAAAATACATCATATACACATAAAATAGTATAAACACATCATACATATCCACTTTAGAGTCTCTTCTGGAGCCACGGCGTGCACCTGGAGCACATATTTTCGACGACAAACGAAGTGGGCATATCGCCAAGCGTTGACCCGCCACCATGTCGGCTGTCTCTTTCGATGGACGTTTTGACGGGCACAGCAGGACGATCCAAGAACATCAGGGTCCCTGCATCACACAAAGGACGGTGAACATACAAACCTTTGGAAGTTGTGTGGTTCTTCCAGAACCAATCAACAAACATGTTGTGTACCTTTTCTACCAAGTCTAGAATCTAGATGTCCCAAAGTACTGGACTTGTCGTAGCCACCCGCTTGCCCCGGTTTTACTGTCTTCCACACATGATCCGACTGAACCCTTTGACCCAAACGCCCGTTGTCTCCACTCCGTCGCTGTCCTCGTCGTCGTCCGCGCGTTTGGGCTTCGCTGCGTTGAGGGAGGAGATGTAACGATCCTGGCATCGCTGGAGACGGCAGAGTTCGGAACCTGATGTTTGAACTACAATCAACCCGGACCACCCGGACTGGGGCATAGCGGCATGCCCCAAACAGACCCCTTTTCAATCAACCACGGTAAAGAGGCCAGTTTCATGGATGGTGTGGGCAAGTATTGTTAATTCGTTTACCCTTCAACGCGTACCACCTGCAACCTGTCAAGTATTCGCAAAGCAACCGAGCGCGACTTGATCTTTGCGATCCAGAACGGAACGGATCAGGGCAAATCGTGCTTTGCCACACACCCAAATCGACGAAAGGGATGCCAACAAAGCTGAACATCACTAGACATTGCAATCTGTTGACCTTGTCCCTAAGATTGACGAAATCCATGTCAAGTCACAAACACTAACCAGAATCTACAGTATGTAAACTGGACATGTTGTGCCATGTTTTGACCAGAATCTTCAGTTTTGAGCGACCACGTCCTGCGGAAAACACCCGTGAAAAATGCTGCCAGGAGGGCCATGGTCCGCTTCCAAGCTGCCAACTTGCCCATGACCACATCCTGGCCGATTGAAGAAAACATGGACCGTTCGTAGCGTCCGATCGTTCCGTTCGGTTCGTAAGGCCAGTTGAGCCTCCTTTCTTCGGTTCGCGTCCGATCGCAATGGATAACTTGGTCAAGTTCCTATGTAAATGACTGTCTGTTATTGTTCTTCGTTCAATCATCTGAGCACCTAGAGGAGGGTGGATGCAAGCACCGCTGTTGCCTCAATTTTCGACCAGTCTCAGACATGTCCATTTTTCGACCACACAGGCACCACTGGTTTTCCTCGCAGAAAACACACCGGCCCAAGTGCCGTGACACGGAAACTGTCCCGCCTCGTTGGGGCCGATATAGATGCGCTCGATGAACTGCAGGCCAATGAGAGCCACGTACATGACCTGGGCGAAGGCGGACGTTGGACGCTGGAAACTGGACCTGAAGAAAAACGATCACATGTTGGCAAAATGGCAAATAAAGATAAATAAAGCCCATTCCAATATAGATCGCCTGAAAAACACATCTCGCATTTTTCTCGGATCAGCTCACAGCTTCAGAACCGCACCGTGGCGAACCTCTGGGCATCCGCACCAGAAAGTCAAAGAGCGTCGGCGCGGCCAACAACGTGAAGATCGCCAAGGTCTGACCGGCGAATCCCGGTGGATCCCGGTCGAGCGAGTTCAAGGGCTCTGAATCCACGCAGCGATCGAGTTCGGTCGTGCGTTGTGAGGGGTCTGGCGAGAAGGGTTGATTCGTTGAATTCAATCGGCCGGCAAGGTTTTCATCAGCCTCGGATCGGCGCTTTTGCGAAAGCACATGATGGGGGTTTCTAAGAAGAATGCCATTCAGGAGTCACAGAACTGGCAAACCTATAGTTCCTCATGGGCTAAAAGAAATGCCCCAACGTGGTTCTTCATGGCGTGACCGAACTTCATCCCAGGGATACTTTTGGTCACTTAAGGCCACAAACAGGGACGCCAGAGACCGGTCTCTTTGAAGAAACTGGAACAACATTCCTGCGGTTCTCTGCTTTTTGTGGCGTGAGTTGCCCAGGATAGGGTATTCCAGTGGTCACCCCGACCCATTTTCTTGTGAACATGTGCAGGATGGGTGTTTTTGGTCACACACTTTGAACCATCAAGTCACCTGACACGAGGTAAAACCCACGACACCCAACCCGATCGCCTGGTTGGTGATCGCCACAGGCACGGTGAGCCTGTGCTTCACAACACGTGCGACTGAGCTGCAACTGAATAACCCAAATGCAATCAGCTTACAACGTCTGTGTTTGGTTTTTTTCCGTCCTGCGTCATCAACCGGCGCCATAGTCATGACCGTCAAATCAAACGGTCAGGCGTTGCGAATTGGCGCAAACTTTTGTACGCGATCACCCCTTGGTCTACCACCGGGCGTGCTTCCGAAAGCTTCGCAACTGCAGTGGCAATATCTTTGCACAGGCCCATGTGGATGAGGCAAGCTGCTGCCATGCAGGCTGATCGCGAACGACCACCTTTGCAATGAATATAGACCTTCTTGCCCTTGTTGGCGTCAGCCTCACACCACTTCGCAATTGCACGTGCCCCTTCCAATAAGTCTTCGAACTTGGGTACTTCCGTGTCCACTGTAGGATAGTGCTTCCATTCAATGTGATGAGTTTCAAAGCATCTCTTGAGGCCATTGGGATCCCATTCTCTGGTCATATTCACAACCAAACCAACTTCAAGGTTTTGCAGTGTTTGCACGTGTCGCTTCAGCAAGCGGCCACCCAAGCAAAAAGGCGTTCCAGAGACGCGCGAAACCACTTCGTGTTTATCTGGGTTGCCACTGTGAAAAAAGCAACCGAAGTCGTAGAAGAAAGAATCCACCACATAGCTGACAAAAAGCAAAGGTGGATCCCACAACAGGTGAATCACCCAAGCCCGTGTAGGCCAAGTTGTGTCAGCTGACGGGCGGCCATACACGGAAGCAATACAAAGAACATAAAGCAGTGGACCGCAACACAATGCGGTCTGGCCGCTCAGCCCGAAGCTCATGAATGGCAACAGATAGACACACGGCCACAACATACTAGCCGCAAGCGAAAAACAGCTGCAGGTTTTGCGAAAAGCGCCCCCAGGTGGCTCTTCATATTTCACCAACTGGTGAACCAAGGGCAAACCAAAAGACACGCCAAATGCAAACCAACCAACCCATGAATCTTTGCTGCCAAGAGCTGATGCTGCGACGCACACCACTCGCCAAATGAATGCTTCTGCGATCCACCAAACTCTCAGGACATGCTCTCGAAGCGTTGCCATGCGCGCACTAAACAAACTCAACCTCTCGCCGAAAATCGTTCCACATCTCCAGTCCGGCAGCGTTCCTTTTTCTTGAGTCTTGAACAACCACATTTTTGCGATCCAAGCAAGTTTAGCTGAAGATTGGCAAGTTTGGCAATCGGTGAGCATCTTCTAAATACTCTCTTCAGGACACTCCCAACATGGGTTCTGGAGGGAAATGGTGTGGCCCCTCCCAACAACTTATGTTGATTGAGTGAATGGATGTCCTCGGCTTCCGGGGAAGTCCGCCGAAACGATACGTCCCCGCCCCCGTCTCTCGCTGTGCAGCGACCCAATAAGCGGGGCTCCGGGCATTAATTCGCACATGAAGCTGGTGAAGGCGATCTTGATGGTAATGCGAACCATCTCAGGCCACGAGATGGTCGAGATGACGAGACGAGGAGAGGGTTTCTAGGTGTTGGTAATACCGACCACTTCTGACTGAGTTGCTCCTGGTGATTCTTGGGGGGGCAATTATTGGCGATGCAAACAGTCTGCTGCTGGCTTTCGAAGACAAGGGTCAGGGAAAGGTGAAACTATGTATGAAAACCTATCAAACAACATCCTCTGTCCTTGTTTTGGGTGGTTTTGGAAGACTATCGCCAACAAGCACCCACATTGTGTATTCTTCCACCAAGTAAATTTTCCAAAAAAGTGCCACATGCAGGGCAGGGCGGACATAGACATGTTCGTCTTCGTTCGCGTGCTGGCATCGTTTTTCACAACGAGTGGGGCTGGAACAGCGCTGCTGACGTTTCGCTGCTGGGCAGCAGAAGGGGGCGCAGGAATGAAAAAACCGTTCACAATCTTGTGTTGATCACTTCAGCGGCTTATTGAAAAACATGTTCAGCGAGTTCTGTTTGGAGTCAATTACAGTCATTCCTTTGGTGTTCGGTAATCGTTTCCAAGCAAACACAAGCGCTGTCAACTGCCACCCGATGCTCTGTCAACATGTCCATTCGCTTCGGACCTCAAGTGTCCGTTCGCCGACGAAAACGAACACGTCCGAAACGGAGGGACTCTTGGGACATCGGACGAAAAGGGTGAAGAGGAAGAGCTGGATATTGTTGCGGTACATCTGAGAGAAGGCGCACCGCAGCAAACCAATCTGAAGAGCCTGGTGGGCGAGACCAACCGTTGTCAGGAAAGGAGTCGACAGCTGCTTTGCGAATGGCTGGACAAAGGTCATTCTTGCATGGACATTGCCAAAGCCATTTGAACTCCATGCTCCTACCAAGCCTAAGAGCCGGTTTACTTTGTTGCCCATAACATGCATCTTCTTCAATTAGCTTCAACCCCTGCAGTTCTTTTTCTCATCTGAACCCTCTTTCTCCCACAAAACGTGCTGTTCCATCCCCCCGCGCCGCGTTGATATACACCAGCAACGCCAACGCCGATCGCTTCCATAGGTGGGTCGTGAAGATGGGTGGCATCTCTGGGTCTTCCTGCCGGCTCGACCATCCAGTTTTACGCGAGGAAAAACCAAAAGAAAAGAGTACAACAAACCAACATACAACAAACACATATTTTTGTTGACTTTGTTCTTATTGATGTTCTTTTTATCTCTCTGGATCTTCCTGTCAGCTCTTGACCGAAGAGGGAACACCTCTGGCATCCGTCCAGTTTTCCAGCAAGAAACGCGTAGCAACGCATCCAAAACAAGCCAGAACGTGACCGGTGAACACCGATGCCTACAACTTCTCAGCTCAGTCTGTCCAGTCGGAGATTGATTTCAGGTCACTTCTAGGGTGTGTCATGGTGTGTCCATCTGTTAGCACTTGAATATAATCTGTTTTAGCAAAGCTGCTGATCGGTGCGTGCCCTTTGCTTTGAAAATCAAAACATATCCAAACACCATAAGCAACACGAAGGCATCTGTGGCCCGTTCTCTGTGCATTGCTCTTGAGCACTCGGTTTCACAGCCTTCAAACAAAAGCTTGTGGGAAGCCTTTTTTCACAACCCATGAGCCACAACCCAGCCAGGGCTCCAGGACAATGGTCCTTGGCTTCTGAGTCAAACTGCTTCACTCCCAAACCGCTTCATCGTTTTGGGACCGCTCCATCCATCCGCTGCTTCCGACGGATCAGAGGAACCCCTTTTCCGCTGGGAACGGTTAGGAGCACAAGAAAAACCCCCCGATGTGCCGATGCCAGAGGATCCCATAGGGTGACGGAATCCCATAAGGTCTTGACATCTGACTGACATGGAGATTCTCAAGGAACAAAAAAGGGTATCACTCTCCAGGTCTGCATTGGTTTCATTGATCGCCCAACATGTGGCCGCTGAGATCTTCTTCTTCCCCCCAAAAAAGCATCAAACGGGGTGCATCGTCTCTCATCGCGCGCAGCGCGCCTCCATGAACAGCTCCTTTTCCACCTCACGACAGGATCCAAAGCCGAAGGAAGACAGGTGAGTTCCGGTGCGGACGGTGTGGACGAAGGAAGACAGGTGCCTGAAAATGTAAGTTCCAACGCGTTCGAACAATGAAGAGAGCCCCGTTCGTAGCGTCCGAACGCTCCGTTCGTAGCTTCTTGAAATGGTCAAAGTAATTGGCCCAATCGTGGGAAGACTGTGGTTCCGTTTTTGACAGAAGATCCGAAACGAAACACTTCAGACACGGAACAGGCTGTCTTGAGGGAAAATGACTTGGTCTCAACATGGGGGAAGCTTTTTCGTCACTTGTTGATGCAACTGGGTGACCCAACAGATCAGCTGGTTTCAGACTGTCAGACCAAAAATACAAACTAGATGAACAATACAATCTGTTGTGCACACAAGGACTCAAATCAAAGAGCAACAGCTGGACCTCATTAGATGGCCCTAAGATGCAAGGTACAAGTACCCAAACCATCATAATGTGGGTATTATGTATTTCAATTGGGAGAGCCCTCGGCCCTGGCTGGGTAGACTGGTCTGCTTCCCGAACTTTCCAGGGGGTCATTGCCTGGGGTCCTTCTTTTGATACACACCCAGGTGGGAGTCACGTTCGACGGGGGTGCGGAGGAAGTCGTCGCGGTGCCCCACATCCACGGCCGATGGGACTAAACACCAACACCACCCAGGCCCTCCATGTGACTCTTGGCAACAAACACCTTTTGCACGCCTCACAGCCATGTCCCGCTGTATGTCCCGCTTCACCGCCAGACAGCCGCGGCGGGACCACAACATCGCCGCCTCCGTCTCAGTGTCGGTGGGACGTTCGCCGCCCTTCTCAGCCTCTTCTTCCTGCTCCTGTGGGCCCAGCTAAAGGGGCTGTATATATATATATATACCTACCTACCGATCCACTCACTGCAGGAGTCATTCTTAGTCTAAAACGCTCATTAAGAAATTCGTCTTGATTGATCTTTGCTTAACAACCCTATTCCTTGTGGTAATCTGCCACTCCGACATGGACTTAGGGAAACACTGTTCGGCTCAAACTCGAGCTCTGTATTCCTGCCACTCGGGAGGATTTAAAGTCAGGTCAGCAGTTCCAACTGCCAAGGTTCTATTTTCAGGTTCCATGTGGATTGTTTCGTTCAAAAAACAACTGCACAATTTCAGCATCACCAATCCTAAAATCAAGGAACCTATCCCCTTGAGCCCTGCCCTTTCGGATCTTCTTTTGATTCAAGAAACTGCAAGTGCACATACCAGCTTCTCAGCTCATATTCGGAGATCAAAACACCTGAGATCTGGATCTCTCATGGACTGGTGTTGGCTCTTCCTAACTCACACAAGACTTGCTGAGTGGATCACGGAGAAAAGAGACCCATCGATTTCTCCCCGTGATTTTTCTCTCCTCGTTGATCAACTCCCGCAACCGGTTGGCCCCAGACTTGTCCTCACGACAGGCAGTAGTCCCTGAAGTCACGGCGGGCCAATAACCACTGGTTTGATGATGAAAGAAATTTATTTTTAGTTTTATATAGCGTCTTTGGTTTCAGCATCCCATCAATCATCTATCTGAGAAACTACGAGGAAAGGACCTCTTGTGCGATTGGATCAGCTACCCTTAGCTACACTCAATGTGTCTCACACATTCTCCTCCCAAAACAAACACCACCGATAGCATGCCGTTTGAGCGTTTTTACTTGCTTTTTTCTCCCCTCTTGGCCATTGTTGGCTTTGACTTCGCATGACTTCGTCTCCAGTCGACGCTGTTGCCTTCACTGTTTCACCAAACTAAAGGGGGGGCTGCTTAAGGGTAGAAACCTGGCAGGTGAGTCAGGTGAGCAGGTGGAGACCTTTTCTTTGTCCATTCCGCATTCGACTCGCCACTAGTAGCAATGCCAGGAGCGCCCCGTTCGGTGCGCGTCCGATCGCTCCGTTCGTAGCGATGCCCTTTAGCTACTATAGTAGCGTCCTTGCTCTGTTCGTAGTAATGCCAGGGGCTACTAGTAGCGTCCTTGCTCCGTTCGTAGTAAGGCCAGGAGCCCCGATATAGTAGCTACTATAGTAGCATTCTTGTTCTTTCTCCTCGCGCTTGTAGTAGTTGCTGGAGCTCTTCGGCACCTCGGCTCGACCGATCCGCCAGTAGCACCGAAGCGATAGCAACACAGCAAAAAACCAGGCGGAGCCAGGTGGAGATGATTTCTTCGTCCGTTCTTCACACCGCGGTGAAACGCCCAAGAGTTGTTTGTAGCGATGTCCGTTCTGAAGCGTTTGACTGCTTTCATCAGATCTAGGTCGGCCGCACCTCTGGAGCAGCTGAAACGGACATGTCACCATTTTATGGTCAACAATTGTGGAAGCACTGCGTGGTTCGGTGACTTGCCTGAAACACCGGGATCATCATCTGCTTTTTGTCTCGGTTCTCAATCAACCTCTCTTCCGCTGGTCGATTGAAGTGAAGGCAGGTACGCCATCATGCCCAGCTGGGCGCTATTGACCTGCATCCTGTGTTGGGAGACTCATACAACTGGACGGGCTGACATCGGACATGGACTGGTTCAAAGTAGATTCCGCTCCAGTACACATACACGCAAAGCCGATGGCTTGAGGGGGGCATGTGTGAGTCGATTGGTCGTTGCCTCGATGTAAGATGTCGTCCGTGCACACTGCAGTCATCTGCAGTCCCACCAACGACCGACCAAGAACCCATGGGTTCGTGAGGATCCGACTAAGAGCTTCAAGGATGCCGAGATGGTGTAGCCCGCCAAGCAAATCATAAATGTGCCTTGGAAGCTTCGCAGCGAAGCAAGCGTCGCTTGCGTGTGACTGGGCGAAGAGAAGAAGAAGGTGCATGACTGACTTGACGGAGTCAAGTCCAAGACAGCCGGAATCCTAACATGGCAACCTATGCAATATAATAAGGAACAATTATTGCTTCTAAACCCACCTTCTCAGTCACCTCTTAGGCGATCCTCTGACTTGATATGATCAATAAACATTATACATATATATAAGTCGTAAGTGATCATAAGTGTTTCAGTCTTAAAAAGGTCGCTCTATGATAAGGCGGCAGTCGTGTTTGATCTTGGTGTGATCCTGAGCCCTCAGACTATACAACCAACAGTCATCACTCACAACCCATGCGAACGACCCATCCACGAGAAACGAACACGGGACGAACGACTCACGACCATCGACCATCGCTGCCCCAGCCTACACGGCCCGTCCGTCGTTCACCGGGATTGGTGGAGCTCACGGCATCCTCTCCGCCGTAAGAGCCTCGACCGGATGAGAAGAGCCCTTCGTGTTGGGTGACGACCCCGGCTGGCAGGTGTCGGGAAGCTGGGACATCCAGGCCAGGCGAATGATGCAAGCAAACACCGAACAAATGGATGGACCATCATTGACCACACAATCACATTTCCCAACCGGACCCTCTTCTGCAAGGTGGGAAAGAGGCAAACCCAGCTCGGTGGAGAAGGTTTCAGCAGCACCCGATTTCAGCAGAAAGTGGAAACTCCTTGAAATCTTTCGATCTCTGAACCTTCTGACTGCCTCTGAAGTTCCTCACAGTAATGTCGACCTCCTAATAATAACCCCCCCCCCCTTGATCAAGTGCGGGCCCCAAATAAGGTGAAATCCAGAAAAATCCTGGAAAATCTTGATTTGAATTGGAAATGAAAGGAAAGGAAAGGAGATTGAAGGAAAGGAAAAGAAATAAAAGGAAAATGAAAGGAAAGGAAAGGAAATTGAAAGGACAATGAAAGGAAAGGAAAGGACATTGAAAGGACAATGAAAGGAGAGGGAAAGAAATGAAAGGAACATGAAAGGAACGGAAAGGAAAGGAAATCACGAAAAGAACCAGCCAGGGATTGTTTAGTATTATTTGAGGCCTGGAGTAATTGAAGGTTTGGGCTGCTCGTGGGGGGTGGTCTTTGTGGGTTGATTTCAGGTTGCAAATTGCAATGCCCAAATAAGCAATTTTAAAAGAAACATGCAGCAGCCAAGTCAGACATCCAGAAAGGATTTCCTTCAATAAAGTTCAACCAAAAGGAA